GCGGTGTTTTATAGCCAAAATCTATCAAAAATGATTTTTAGGAGGTTTTTTTTGAAACGGAATGGCACAAAAGTCATTCTTAGTTTCGGGCCGTCGTTATATATATATAGTAGAATAATTGCTGTACATTTCGATTCATGATTATTTGAGGGCAACTGTTCCTAGCCGCACCCAGTGATTGTCAGGCAGTCAGTGTCCCTCGAGCTACACAAAATGATTTAACTCCGATCAACGTCTTACAACTCCTTTAGCCCTTATCTGCACGGTTATATCCATGGAATGCAACTGGCATGTAACTGCTACTGGCGAACAAGGTCTGGTCTTCCCAGCACCTGTGCCATGCATCAACTAATTTCAACCAAACACCTATGGGTTTATTGAACGAAAGGGAGGGACCATCAACTTGGCCCTGTCGATTGAAGACACATTTTTTTGATATATACCTGGTGGCTGCCCCCAGCTCCACACCTTGTGGACGAGCACGGCTTGGCCTGAGTTTTGAACTCAATCCCAGTAAGGAAAGAACAACGCGCGTCTGCTTCAGGAAGTGATTCATTTTGTGGGCCCTCTTTTACTCTGCTTTTTGACACTTCATGATCACCTAGAGAATATCTACAAGTACTATTCATACTAAGGCAAAAGAGCCACGACAACCAAAACGAAATCACCTGCGTACTACCTGAAATCATTATCAAAATCCATACTTCTTCAGAGCCTCTGCTTCTGCACTTGCCAATGCAATTAGCCAAGCGTTGATTCAGAGCAACAACAACAACGCAACACATATACATTCTGAATCAATAAGCAAACACATCCATCGAAGGCCTACCAAAGAGAGAGAGAGAGAGAGAGAGAGCAGTGTGTTCATGTGCAAAAAAAGAAATACGATGTGTATTGTCATTATGGTTTTATTACGTTTATTGATTGACGCAAGCTTGGTGCGCTTAACTAGTTTTGCGCTTTTGGAGCCCTGGGGGTGTGTGGAGGTGGTGCGCGGGGTGGTGCGTGAGGCGGTGCGCAAACAAAACGCCCGGGGTTGGTCCTAAGTTTTGCGGTGCGCAGAGTGGTGCGCGGAGCGGTGCGAGGCGGTGCGCAGACAAAACATCGGGGGTTAAGCGGTAGAAGTAGGATCCGGTTCCCCGCGGATCCCCGCGGTTCCCCGCGGATCCCCGCGGATCCCCGCGGATCCCCGCGGATTTGCGGGGACACCAATGGCCAATGTTACAGTTGACCGCTGCTTAAAAGCCTATTGATTACAAAATAGGCTGGCTGTCCGCGGAGAAGCGCAGGGATCCGCGGGGAACCGCGGGGATCCGCGGGGAACCGCGGGGATCCGCGGGGATCCGCGAAGATCCGCGGGGATCCGCGGGGATCCGCGGGGATCCGCGGGGATCCGCGGGGAACCGCGGGGATCCGCGGGGAACCGCGGGGATCCGCGGGGAACCGCAGGGATCCGCGGGAACCGGATTCTACCTCTTGTTTTTGCTCGTATGTAGGCTAAGCAAAAGGGTGTTTTGAAACTCCCCGCGGTTCCTCGCAGATCCCCGCGGTTCCCCGCGGATCTTCCCCCTCCCGCACCATCCCGCGCACCACCCCGCGCACCACAAAATTGCCGAGAACAACCCGCGCACCGCCCCGCGCACCACCCCGCGCACCACCCAGACCTTACCAAACCTAATGAAACCAAGATTTTGACATAGGGGTAGTTAAGCGCACTCCGCCGTGGCCAATTTATTGATGTCAAGTGGCGTGTTTGGAGCGCTGCCAGTGTTGCTCGTTGCTCCTGAAAACGGCAGCAAACAAAAGACATAATGTGACCCTCATCAGCATCCTAGAATAACAGGCTTATTTTTTGTCATATCGTATTATGTTGCTAGACTGAAGAGCTCTCCTTGCTGCATGTAGGGCTCTCCGACTACCAACAACAAACTCAAACAAATCGACAGGGCTCTCTGGCAGCCATGAACGAACATCGTGAACTGTCAACGGGATTCTTGGATTCTTGTGCTCACGGGTTGCCAAGATGTTGAACAAAATCAAACCAACGTCCGTGGAAGTCACTTGCATGTGTGGTCATCTTGTGGCTCTGAATTGCCATGCGGCAGTGCGGTACAAAACAGAGTCTCTGATAGTGTCCAAAATTGTTGGTGTAACCTCTCCATAGTATTCCACATTGAGAGAATGCTCCAACCTTTCCACTGAAAATTCTTGGCCAGTGACCCTACAACTGCAAGTGCTCGCTTCTTCATTGAATCAGGCAATGTAGGTGTGAGGAATCAGATTTTCTCATTGGACCGGCAATTACATTTACCAACTGCCCACTGCAGAAAGTCACATGTACACCCGGACTTTGCACCTTGCGGTCGAACGCGGCTGGGCCTAAGCTCAACGCCAGTTCAGCGCCAGTTCAAATTTATATATGTCCTTCCATCTCTCAGAATGGAAGGACTCAAACTTTTGCAACTGTTTGGATCTTGCATCTTGCGCTAGGCAAGGCCTTTTATCAGCACAATCAGGCACTATACTAGTTACTAGTGCAGCATCTGATTCCCACTTCCTTACCTTTGACAA